GTGAGGGTTATGTGTGAGTATATGTGTGAGGGGGTGTGTGAGTGTGTGTGTGAGTGTGTTTGTGAGGGTGTTTGTGAGGGTATGTATGTGAGGGGGTGTTTGAGTGTGTGCGTCTGAGGGTGTGTGTGTGATGGTATGTGAGGGTGTGTGAGGGTGTGTGAGGGTGTGTGTGACGTGTCTGTGTGAGGGGCTCTGTGAGGGTGTGTGAGGATGTGTGTGAGTGTGTGTGTGAGGGTTGTGTGAGGGTGTGTGTGAGTGTATGTGTGAGTCTCTGTGCGAGTCTGTGTGTGAGGGTGTGTGTGAGGGTGTATGTGAGTGTGTGTGTGAGGGGGTATGTGAGGTTGTGTGTGAGGGGGGNTGTTAGGGTATGTGTGAGGGGGTATTTGTGAGAGTGCGTGTGATGGTCTATGTGAGGGTGTGTGAGGGTGTGTGTGAGTGGGTTTATGAGGGTGTGTGAGAGTCTGTGTGTGGGTGTGTGTGAGTGTTTATGTGTGATGGTGAGGGGCTATGTGTGTGTGTGTGTCTCTGTGTGAGGGTGTGTGTGCGTGTGTGTGTGTGAGGTTGTGTGTGATGGTGAGGGGTTAAGTGTGAGGGTGTGTGTGTGGGTGTGCGTGACGGTGTGTGTCAGGGTGTGGGTGTGTGTGAGGGGAATTGTGAGTATGTGTGTGAGGGTGTGTGTGAGGGGTTGAGTGAGGGTGTGTGTGAGGGTGTGTGTGAGGGCGTGTGAGAGGGTGTGTGTGACTGGGTATGTGAGGGTGTGTGAGGGGGTGTGTGAGGGTGTGTGTGAGGCTGTGTGTGAGGGGATGTGAGAGGTTGTGTGTGAGGGGTTATGTGAGGGTGTGTGAGGGTGTGTGTGGGTGTGGGTGACGGGTATTTGAGGGTGTGTGTGAGTGTGTGTGAGGGTGTGTGAGGCTGTGTATGTGAGGGGGTTTATGAGGGTGTGTGAGAGGGGGAGTGTGAGTGTGTGTGTGTGGGTGTGTGTGAGGTGTGTTTGTGGGTGGGTGTGAGGGGGTGTGTGAGGGTGTGTGTAAGGGTGTGTGTGAGGGTGTGTGTTTGGTGTGTGTGAGGGTGTGTGTGAGGGTGTGTATGTGAGGGTGTGTGGGTGTGTGTGAGGGGGGTAAGAGGGGGAATGTGAGGGGGTGTGTGAGGGTGGCGGTGTGTGTGGGTGTCTGTTAGGGTTGTCTGTGGGTGTGAGGAGGTGTGTGAGGGTGTGTGTGTAGGTGTGTTTGAGGGTGTGTGTGCGGCTGTGTGTGAGGGTGTGTGAGGGTGTGTGTGAGGGGGTTTATGAGTGTGTGAGGAGGTGTGTGAGTGTGTGTGTGGGAGTGTGTGAGGGTGTGTGTGAGCGTCTGTCTGTGGGTGTGTGTGAGGGTGTGTGTGAGGGTGTGTGAGGTTGTGTGTGAGGGGTATGTGAGGGTCTGAGTGATGGTCTGTTTGAGGGGGTGTATGAGGGGCTATGGGAGGGTTTGTGCATGAGGGTGTGTGAGGGGTTTTATGAGGGTGTGCGAGGGTGTGTGGTGGGAGGTGTGTATCTGAGTGTTTGTGTGAGGTTGTGTGTGAGGTTATGTCTGAGGGTGTGTGTATGATGTTGTGTGTGAGGGGTATTTGAGGGTCTGTGTAATGATTTGTTTCAGGGTGTGTGTGAGGGGATGTGAGAGGGTGTATGCATGAGGGGGGGGTGAGGGGTTGTATGAGTGTTTGCCTCCTGGTGTGTGTGAGGGTGTGTGTGTGAGAGGGTGCGAGTGGGGTTGTATGAAGGTATGTGTGATGGTGAGGGGCTATGTGTGTGTGTTTGTGTGTGATGGTGAGGGGTTATGTGTGAGGATGTGTGTGAGGGGGTGTGTGTGTGAGGATGTGTGAGTGTCTGTGTGAGGGTGTGTGTGAGTGTATGTGTGAGTCTCCGTGTGAGTGTGTGTGTGAGGTTGTGTGAGGGGGGGTGTGTTAAGGTATGTGTGAGAGGGTGTTTGTGAGAGTGCGTGTGATGGTCTGTGTGAGGTTGTGTGTGAGGGGATTTGTGAGGGTGTGTGAGCGTGTGTGTGAGGGGGTTTATGAGGGTGTGTGTGGGTGTGTGTGAGGGTGTGTGTGGATGTGTGTGAGGGTGTGTATCGGTGTGTGTGAGGGTGTGTGGGTGGGTGTGTGTGAGGGTGTGTGTGAGGGTGTGTGTGAAGGTGTGTGACAGTGTGTGGGTGTTTGTGGGGGTATGTGAGGGTGTGTGTGAAGATGTGTGTGAGGGGGTGTGTGAGGGTGTGTGAGGGTGTGTGTGAGTGTTTATGTGTGATGGTGAGCGTGTATGTGTGTGTGTGAGTCTCCTTGTATGGGTGTGTGTGAGGGTGTGTGTCAGGGTGTGGGTGTGTGTGAGGGAATTTGTGAGTGTGTGTATGACGGTGTGGTTGAGGGTGTATGTGAGGGTGTGTGTGGGGGGGTATGTGAGGGTGTGTTAGAGTGTGTGTCTGTGTGTGTGTGAGGGTTTGTGTGAGTGAGGGGATTTGTGTGTGTGTGTGTGTGAGGAGGTTTGTGAGGCTCTGTGTGTGGGTGTGTGTGAGGGCATGTGTGAGGGGATGTGTGAGGGAGTGTGTGGGTGTCTGTGAGGGGTTGTGAGAGCGGGTGTGTGAGTGGGCGTGTGAGGTGGTTTATGAGGGTGTGTGAGGGGATGTGTGAGGGGATGTGTGAGGGGGTGTGTGTGAGGGTGTGTGAGGGTATGTGTGAGTGCGTTTATGAGTGTGTGAGGGTCTGTATGTGGGTGTGTGTGAGGGGGTGTGTGTGAGGGTGTGTGAGGGGTTTTATGAGGGTGTGTGTGAAGTTGTGTGTGGGGGTGTGTGTGAGGGTGTGTGAGGGGATGTGTGAGGAGGGGTGTGTGAGGGTGCGTGTGAGGGGGTGTGTATGGGTGTGTGTGAGGGGGTGTGTGAAGGTGTGTGAGGGGGTGTGTGTGAGGGGGTTTATGAGTGTGTGAGGGTCTGTGTGTGGGTGTGTGTGAGGGGTTGTGCGAGGGTATGTGTGTGTGGGTGTGTGTGAGGGTGTGTGGGTGGGTGTGTGTGAGGGTATGTGTGAGTGTTTGGGTGTGATGGTGAGGGGGTAAGTGTGTGTGACTCTCCTTCTGAGAGTGTGTGTGTGCGTGTGTGTGAGGGTGTGTTTCAGGGTGTGGGTGTTTGTAAGGGGATTTGTGAAGGTGTGCGTGACTGTGTGTTTGAGGGTGTATGTGAGGGTGTGTGTGAGGATGTGTGTGAGGGTGTGTGTGAGAGGGTGTGTGTGAGGGTGTATGTGATGGTGTGTTAGGGTGTGTGTGGGTGTGTGTGAGGTGGTGTGTGAGTGAGAGGATTTGTGAGTGTGTGTGTGAGGAGGAGGTTTGTGATGGTCTGTGTGAGGGTGTGTGTGAGGGGTTTTATGAGGGTGTGTGTGAGGGTGTGTGTGAGGGGGTGTGTGAGAGGGTGTGTGTGAGGGTGTATGTGATCGTGTGTTAGGGTGTGTGTGGGGGTGTGTGAGGGGGTGTGTGAGTGAGAGGATTTGTGAGTGTGTGTGTGAGGAGGAGGTTTGTGATGGTCTGTGTGTGGGTGTGTGAGTGAGGGGATTTGTGAGTGTGTGTGTGTGAGGATGTTTGTGAGGGTGTGTGTGAGGGTGTGTGAGGGGATTTGTGATTGTGTGTGTGGGGTGTGTGTGAGGGAGTGTATTTGGGTATGTGTGAGGGTGTTTGCGTGAGGTTGTGTGCGTGAGGGGTATGTGAGTGTCTGCGTGATGGTCTGTTTGAGGGGGTGTGTGAGGGGCTATGAGAGAGTTTGTGCGTGAGGGTGTGTGAGGGGATTTATGAGGGCGTGTGTGAGGGTATGTGGTGCGGGGGGGGCGGTCTGTGTCTGAGTGTGTGTGTGAGAGTGTGTGTGAGGGTATATCTGAGGGTGTGTGTATGATGTTGTGTGTGAGGGATATTTGAGGGTCTGTATAATGATTTGATTGAGGGGGTGTGTGAGGGGATGTGAGAGGGTGAATGCATGAAGGGGGGGGGGTGAGGGGTTGTATGAGGATTTGCGTCAGTGTGTGTGTGAGGGTGTGTGTGTGTGTGACGGAATCGTACATTGAAAGTTCATGTCAATGTCTGTTCCTCATCATAAAACAATGCTATTCATTACATTCAATGTAGTAACTAACAGCGATGATGCCAACAGATCATTGTTTGAGAAGCAGCACAATTCTGCACCAATAAGATTCACTAATAACGGTCAATGAGGGTAAAGCTGACGGTTACCTGATTCAGTGAATCGTTCCTTCAGTTCTGAAACGAAACAACATATATTGAGTGTTTATTACATAAATCCCCCTCAGCCGTTACACACCGAACCTTATCCCGTCCTCGTGTTGCAGCTGATAACACGGAACACGTCCCAACCCGAGTTGGTTTCCAGAAACAGAGAAGTAATCCGTGCGGTTTGTTCGGCCCAATGTCCGACACTCTGTGTCTCTGATCACATCACAGGGCTTCGGAGTCTCCAAACCCACCCAACATACTGGGACTTCCACCACAATAATAACCCTTGAAGTTGACCCAGAGCCGTGTCACAGCTTCCGGACACACCGCTTCATAGGGTACACTGGAAAATGAAGTTACTGTGTATGTTGTGCGCAAAGTTTCGCGCATCGACTGCGTATTTTATGGGTCACCAATTGTGCACAGCAGTGACCCACAAACCGTGGTGGATTGAGTGACTACATTATTATTATTATTACTGAAGGGGTTATTACCCCTGGAAAGCCAATCGATCAGCGAGTCGGTTCCTCTTCACTGTCAGGTAAACAGAGGTGTGTGGAGTCAGGAAACTTGACTAAGGTTCCGGTGCGCCCGGGAATCAAACCCAGGTCCTCTCGCTTGTGAGGCGAGGGCTGTATCGCCTGAGCTACAGGACTCCACTGTGCACCTGGACATATGGTGTCCGTGTGTCTGGTCTGGAGGGATGGCCCTGGGTAACGAACCCCAGAGAGTTCAGGCACGGATTGGAAGGAGCCCAAACCTGTTGACCCCAGAGTGTACCCCACTGAAGCCACACGGCTCGTCATTGGGAATGCTGGGAAGCCATTGCCATTGCCTGTCCACCCAGGACCACCCCCAACCTCACTCGTTGGGATAAAAGACGAGTTCCAGCTCCAACTCACTGGACGGCAGCTCCGAGTTCTGCTAATGATCCAGTCAGACTGTTCCTCTAACCCTGCCCTTGACCCCTGAGGATCTGCGTGGCTCAGGAACCAGACTGCGCGGATCACCACAGGAACTCCGAGATTCCACTGCCAGACGCGTCACCTCGGAGACAACTCTGTCCGAAAGAGATCCCAATCCACAAAGGAAATGATCTTACAATATCTCAACAATAAATACATTTAGATAATTATTTGCTGAGGACAGATTTGCTGGGCTTGTGGGGAAAGCGCGGGGGAGTGGGTTGATCAGGTCTATGGGGAGAGAGAGAGAGAGAGAGGGGGGGGTGAGAGTTTGGTGGGCTTCTGTCTTCATTATATTTCGTGTTTGGCGGAGATGGCCAGGCCAGCGAGGAGGATTGGAATAGTCCAGCCAGGAAGTGATGAAGGCCAGGACGAAGGTTTCGGCCGCTGTGCGGGTGAGTTACGGACGGAGGTGGGCAACGTGGCAGAGGTTCCTGGTCAGGGTACGGATGTGGGGGAGAAGGGAACCTGACCCCTGAGTTGTGCTCGGGTTTGGAGAGGCTGAGGGAGAGCCCAGCCCGGGGTGGATGAGGAGCTCAGAGCTGCAGGAGAGAAGGCGTTGGCTTCCGATTGGGCCCACCTTCCGTTGGAGGAAACGTTCGCTCACCGAGGCCCGGCCGTCCGTCAAACAATCTGACAGGACATCAGGGGACGGGAGTCCCATCTGGAGGAGGAGGAGGAGATGAAGATCTGGGTGTTGTCCACATACATGTGGAAGTTAACCCCATGTCTGGAGATGACATGGCCCAGAGGGAGAGGGTAGATGATGAAAGGGAGACCAGTGATGGAGCAACGTCCCCTATACCTCCCCCACACCCCCAGTTTGGCCTTTCCCAGAATCATACTATTCAAGGGGAGAGTTAAAGGAAACTTATTTCACATTCCAGGTCGGTCACACTTACCGAGAGCCTTTCTCAGGTATTTTCGGTCTGAAAGCAGAAGCAAATATTAACACACAATGTAAAGTTTCTCACACAATCCTCATCACACAAACGGAACGTCATCAGAGACATCGGTCGCGGCAGTGAGTGCGGTTTACCTCGTTCAGCGGATTTCAATTCGTTATCTTTAAAACAAAAGAAAATTCATCCTTCAGTCATCGAGAAAAACAGTGAAAGTTTATCAGATTTCTTCCACTCAACGTCTTTGGTTTCCTTTGAGCTGAAACCTTCCGACTCTCTCAAGGCTTTGAGCGGATAGAGAGCCTCACATCCACCGAAGGGAACGAACTGAGTCACAAACTCTCAAAATGTAAGAATTTCCTTTGAATCTGTTGGTGATCTCACAATTTGTGTCACAAGTGATGAAACACTCGGATTTTTCTGCTCTTCGGAAACCGAGAAAACCGGATTCAGCGTTTAATGCCCTCAATAACCGAATACTGAGAATAGTAATAATCCTTATATTTGGTACAGAACCCACACCAACTCCATCTCCTACAGCCCCACTGCTCCCACTCACACACTAAACCCTGTATACCATCACCCCATCCCTCGCCCACTGCTCCCCCTCACACACTAACCCTTGTAGTCCATGACCCCAACCCTCGCCCACTGCTCCCCCTCACACACTAACCCCTGTACCCCATCACCCCATCCCTCGCCCACTGCTGCCCCTCACACACTAACCCCTGTACCCCATCACCCCATCCCTCGCCCATTGGTCCACTCACACACTAACCCCTGGACCCCATCAGCCCATCCCTCGCCCACTGCTCCCCCTCACACACTAACCACTGTACCCCATCACCCCATCCCTCGCCCACTGCTCCCCCTCACACACTAACCCCTGTACACCATCACCCCATCCCTCGCCCACTGCTCCCCCTCACACACTAACCCCTGTACCCCATCACCCCATCCCTCGCCCACTGGTCCCCTCACACACTAACCCCTGGACCCCATCAGCCCATCCCTCGCCCACTGCTCCCTCTCACACATTAACCCCTGTACCCCATCACCCCATCCCTCGCCAGCCCCCACTGCTACACCTCACACACTAACCTCTGTACCCCATCACCCCATCCCTCGCCAGCGCCCACTGCTCCCTATCACACACACTAACCCCTGTACCCCATCAACCCATCCCTCGCCAACTGCTCCCCCTCACACACTAACCCCTTTACCCCATCACCCCATCCTTCGCCAGCCCCCACTAGCTCCCCCTCACACAATAACCCCTGTACCCCATGACCCCAGCTTACGCCAGGCTCCAATGGCTCCATATCACCGAACAGATGTTTTATTATGTATGCGTCAATATGCGCGTGTGTGGGTCAGTGTGTTTGAGAGTGTGTGCGTGTGTGTTTGTGTGTGTTGGATACGGGAGCAGTCGCCTTTCCCTCTCCATTACCACACTTTCTCCCATACCATCAATGGTGATACCATCCTTATCTGATTGTGTTCATTTCTATTGCTATCTCTATACATCAAGCACCTCATAAGCAACCAACCAACCACCGCCCCACACGATAATCCCATCGCCAGAAAACGTGGCACATCAAAAAATCTGTACAACTGAATGTTAAAAAGAGGAAAAACAATAAAAATTATTTTCATTCTCTACGTCTAATTCTATAACGATTTTTTCAAAAACCGCGAGCGCATCACAGAAGCCAATCAAATCTGCTGGTTGTATTTCATTGTCGAAGACGCAGTCGTTCAGTTGATTTGTTAAACCCCGCTCCAGTATTCCTGTTCAGGTGGAAGTTAAAGAGCCCACGACGAGATTGGAGAAGAAAAGCGAATTTCTCTCTCCGAGTGACCCAGAAAACAACCCTCCAGATAAAGCTGCAGTGCGGCACGTCTGTTAGATATCTGGCTGGTGGGTTAGCCAGCGGGTCACCTGGTCATTGTGTAAGTGACCAGCTCTTCTGGTCAGTTACCGGGCAAGTGACCCGGTCATCTGCTTATTTAATTGGCAGGTGACTTGGTTGGCTGGTGACCGGGTTGGGGAGCTGCTTTTCTATTGCTTTCTGAGCTGGAATGAACCAGTAATGGCACGATCGTCACCCGCCATATTCCAGCTTCGCCATCGACATTCGTGTAGATGTCACAGACCCGTCGTCAAATGCGAGGGCCATCTGCATTATTGTCATTTGGCGACTCTGTGTTTCTAATCATAATAATAATCCTTGCATTTGATGTAGCGCTTTTCACGTCAGGAGGACGTCCCAAAGCGCTTCTCAGAACACACTGTAAAGTGAATTGACTGTATATTTGTGGGTGAACGCGGCAGCCAATTACGCACAGCTGTGTCCCACAAACAGTCGTAGATTGAAAATGACCAATTTATTATTGTTTTGGGTTTTGGAGGGATTTTTTTGTGCATGTGGAGTAAGGAAACTTGCCCAAGGTTTCTCCGTGCCTGGAATTGAACTCAGGTCTCTCGCTTGCAAAGCGAGTGCTCTAACCAATGAGCTTCAGGACTCCATTTCTGAGTCAAATCCTTGACTCCCGTAACCCGATTTGGTGCATCATGACACCAATAGTGTTCCGCAATCCGCCACATAGAAACGAGAACTATCACAGACCCCAGGGGTTAACTTGAGAATATGGACGGAGAGTGGTGGATTTGAAAGTGAGGTTAGACTGGAGAGAGAAAGAATAAAATCAGATAGTATTATGTTCAGAATAGAGAGAGTGCGAGGAGTGGAGCTTGACAAACGTGTGTGTTAATAGTTTGAGAGCAGCACCACAGCCCTCGCATATCACAACCCTCGCATAATTTCATACACTTTATGTCGCTATAGTGTATGTCAACATAAGCTATTTCCAGGCATTCTGGGTTGTATTGTTGTGTTCCACACATTGCAGGATGCAAATAAGTTAATGAATAACCACTATAAAATGTCGATATACTGGAGCAAAACTGCATATTTCTTGATCTTTTCTTCTCTATTAAAAATGCTTTAGAGTACAGGTATGTGATAGTTCTTTACAATGTCGACCCACCATGTCCACACATGTGCAGAATGGCCTCTCTCGCCTCTGCCCTGAACCCCATGTTCCTGATTATCAGCCACGATTGTAAAGCGCTGCGGTTCCCTCTCCATATCAGTCCAGTCATGTCACCATTACAGTACAGTCATGTCACCATTTACAGTCCAGTCACGTCACCATTACAGTCCAGTCATGTCACCATTACATTCCAGTCATGTCGCCATTAGAGTCCAGACATGTCACCATTAGAGTCCATTCATGTTACCATTACATTCCAGTCATGCCACCATTACAGTCCAGTCATATCACAATTAGAGTCCAGTCATGCCACCATTACAGTCCAGATATATCACCGTTACAGTCCAGTCATGTCTCCATTACAATCCAGTCATGTCACAATTACAGACCAGTTATGTCACCATTAGAGTCCAGTCATGTCACCATTACAGTCCAGTCATGTCACCATTGCAGGCCAGTTATGTCACCATTACCATACAGTTATGTCACCATTACCGTCCAGTCATGTCACAATTATAGTCCATTTAAGTCACCATTACAGTCCAGTCATGTCACCGTTACATTCCCGTCATGCCACATTACGTCCAGTCATGTCACCATTACAGTCCAGTATGTCACCATTACTGTCCAGTCATGTCACCATTACAGTCCAGTTAAGTCACCATTACAGTCCAGTCATGTCACAATTGCAGTCAATTCATGTCCACATTACAGTCGAGTCATGTCACCATTACAGTCCAGTTATGTCACAATTACAGTCCATTTAAGTCACCATTACAGTCCAGTCATGTCACAATTGCAGTCAATTCATGTCCACATTACAGTCGAGTCATGTCACCATTACAGTCCAGTCATGTCACCATTACTGTCCAGTCGTGTCACCATTACAGTCCAGTTATGTCCATTACCGTCCATGTCACCATGACCGTCCAGTCATGTCACAGTTATAATCCATTTAAGTCACCATTACAGTCCAGTCATGTCACTATTGCAGTCCATTCTTGTCACCAATGCAATCCAGTCATGTCACCATTACAGTCCAATCATGTCACCATTACCGTCAAATCATGTCAATTAGAGTCCAATCATGTCAACATTGTAGTCCAGTAATGCCAACATTGTAGTCCAGTAATGTCAGCATTACAGAACACTCAGTAACCATTAGGGTCCAGTCATGTTGCCATTAAAGGCCAGTGATGCCAGCATTAATATCCATTCATGTCAGCATTGCAGTCCATTCAGGTCAATTCTAAGGTGCAGTGATGTCTCAGTAGCAGTATAATGGTATCACTATTACAGTACAGTCATGTCACCATTACAGTCCAGTCATGTCACTTTTACAGTCCAGTTCATTGAATCACCGTTACAGTCCAGCAATTCCACCATTGCAGACCAATGACGTCACCATTACATTCCAGTGATATCTCAAATGCAGTCCAGTGATGTCACCATTGCATTCCAGGTTGAATTTCTGGCTCTCACTGAGCTACTTGGGTCACCCACAGGTTTGCGCTGTGTGAGGGATCGCCACCTAATATCTACATTTGGTAT